AACTGGGACAGTTTGGTATCTAGTGAAGCTGTCGGTTCTTTCTTTAAGCCTGCCTTCAGAGTTTGGACTGCTCTTTCTGCCAGACTGTTGGATGATGGATGGTATGGAGCCATCCTTATGTAACAAATCCCACTTGACTTTAGGAAATACTCAAATTCCCTGCTGGTATATGATGGCCCATTATCTGTAATCAACATTTCCAGGAGCTTGTGTATTGCAAAAGATGCGTGCAGTTTTTCTCTTGTTGCCTGTGTTTGATGAATGAACTCTATACATGCCCAGCTATTTTGAGTGGCTGTCCACAATGGTTAAGAACATTGAGCCCATGAAAGGACCTGCATAGTTGAAGTGTAACTGAGGCAGGGTTTACCTGGCCATTCCCAAAAATATGGGGGAGCTGCTGGCATGCGAGGCACTGCCCCACCAATGCAGCTATATTTGCATCCAATCCTGGCCACCAGACATAATGTCTCACCAACATTTTCACTTTGAAAACCTCTGGATGATGCTGGGGGAGCTCAGCTAGTATCTGGGAGGACCTTTGGTTGGGACAATCATTCTTGCTCCCCATAATAATATGCCATCCTCTCTGGATATCTCTGGATCCAAAAAGGTTTCAATTCTGGTTGTGATGGCCCTTTAGTTTCCCCCATCACCACCAGGTTTGTTTGTTTTGTCAGGAATGGATCATTCTGCATGCAAAGTCTGATATTGTCAGCTATGACTGGAAGTGTGTCCAAAAAATTTAAAATCATTATAGACTCTACCAATGGTGCATCTGCCAGCAACAGGCGGCTCAGTGCATCTGCATTTGTTACTTGGCCTCCCAGACAGTGTTCCAACTTGTAATTACAGACACTTAGTAATAGAGCTTACCACTGAATTCACCCTGAAGCTATGGGTAGCACTGCCTTGTCCTCTATAAGTAGACCTAGCAGAGGTTTGTGGTCCATTATTATTTATTTCTATAAAGGTATTGCTCAAACTTCCTGACTTGAAATATGACCGCCAAACCTTCCTTCTCTGTCTGGATGTATTTATGCTCTGCATTAGCCAAAGTCCCAGATGCATACCGTACCGGGTGTTGCTCTCCATTGGACCACTTATGAGCTAATATTACCCCGGTGCCATATACAGAGGCATCACATGTCAATACCAGGTCTCACTTTGGATCATTGTGTGCCAACACCACACAGGACAACAGTTGTTTCTTCACTCTCCTGAAAGCAATGGCTTGGCTATGCAACCATTTACAAGGCTGATCCTTTTTTAAGAGTTGATGCAAAGGTGCCAGAATGGAAGCCACGTTATATACGAACTTATCATAATCATTCACCAGCCCAAGGTCAGAACTTAGCTCCTTCAGACATGGGATCTGAGGTTTCTTTGATCACCCTCACTTCATCTTCCAACAGGTGTAACCCAATCTTGTTGACTCTGTAGCCTAGGTAGGTCACTAGAAGTGGTTGAAACACACATTTTTCCCTAAGGCACACACCCACCTGGGAGAAATCTCTGAGGACTATGTCCAAGTTCTCTTAGTGCTCTTTATTGGTCTTTCCTATAATTAGCATGTAATTAGATAAATGGAAACCTGGGTTAGACCTTGAAAAATGTTCTCCATCATCTGCTGAAAAATTGCAAAGCTGACGATAACCCAAATGGTCATCTTGGATATTGGTACAAACCCTTAGGGGTTGTAAGTGTAGCATACTTCTGGGAATCCTCATCTAACCACAACTGCATGCACTCATGGCTCATGTCCAGTTTCATGAAGGACAGCCCTCCTGCCTGCTTTGCATATAAATCCTCAATGCGAGGGATTGGGTGTTTATCTATCTGCAAAAAGCATTTTACCGTTCATTTAAAATCTCCACAAAGGCGAACTGACCCGTTGGTCTTCACAATCAGTCCCACCGGTGCTGCCCATTCCACAAACTGGGCTGATTTGACAATTCCTTCGCTTTCCAGCCTTCTGATTTCAGTCTCTACTTTTGCCTGTAAGGCAAATGGCACTGGTGGGGCCTTGCAGAATCATGGGATTGCTTCCTGGTCAACATGCAAGGTGGCCCCGGCTCCTTTGATAGTCCCTAGACCTTCCCAAAAAACTTCCAGGTATTTTATTAGGACTTCACTCAGGTAGCCATTTTCTAATCAAACAATGTTGAGCCAATCTAGGTGAATCTCTCTCAACCAATTTCACCCCATCAATCTTGGGCCTGAGGTTTTTACTACAATCAGTATTAACTGAACCAGCTGCTTCTCATAAGAGACTGGAATTGAAGTTGTAACCTTAATCCGTAAAGGTTCCCTGGTATACGCTCTTATTCTAGCTAACATCTCACACAAACTTAAGGGTTAACGTCCAGAATGAATTTTGTTAAAGACTGGTTCTGCAATCACTGAAACAGCCACGCTGGTATCGACCTCCATTAGAACCAGATGACCATTTAACCAGATATTTATTTTGATTGGTTCTGATTTGGATGTTGCTAAGCAGATGTAGGTGGATTTTCCATGGTGTGCACTTTCCTGGATATCAACCTAGGAGTTCTTTCACTAAATTTAGGTCTAATGGGGCTCTTTTGCTGTCTTGAGTCTGCATGCTGGCAGCAACTACAATGGTTTGCCTGACTGGATTCTGAAGAAAATTTTAACCACTTGGCCAAGGCTTGGCTTTGTTTTGGGGTTTTTGCTGTGGGCTGACCTCGAGTGCCTCTGTTCAAAATATGTCCTAAGTGAGGCTACACAATTGCTTTCACTCAAGGAACGTTCCCTAAGTTCAGATGGACTGGCGAGGGTGTCCTCTTCAACCGGAATACCCTGCAACTCACATGCTCCACTTGCCACATTTTCCAATGGTAAAGCCAGTTTTGTGCCTGTCAGAAGTCCAGTTAGGTTTCAGCTAGTAGGCGCTTTTGCGTGGTTACATAATTAATCCCATTTACCAAACAGACACTCAGAATCTCATTAAGGGTTAAACCAAAGTCACATGCTTCTGCCAGTCATTTTAACCTAGTCAAAAATCCCAATACAGATTCCTATGGTTTTCAAATTGCTGAGTAAAACCGATAGTGTCTCGGAATTAGAGGAGGCTTGAGGTTGTAATGTTCCTTAACTAAATCTATCAACTCTTAAAAGGTTTGTGTATCTGATGCCTCAGGGAAAGTTAAGCTCCGAATAAGCGAAAATGCTGCGGGTCCGCAAGCTGTCAGGAGAATTACTCGCTGCATCTGCCCTAGTGTCATTTGCCCAGAAAAAATAAAGCATTCTTTCAACAGGCTCGGCCCAGTCTTCAACAACAGGATCAAACAAATCAAGCTTCCCAAATAACAGCATGATGCCAGAAATGCTTACCCAACTCAAAAACAACTGTTGCGAGTAAATTTCTGCAGGAGCATGCTTTTCTCTTGTCATCACTGAAATAACTCCACACAGGCTGGTATCCCATCACCAAGTCACCCTCTATTTACACATGGAGAGTCCTTGACACTGATCCAACTCCCTCAGAGCCAGTGCTCAAATTGAACAGAACCTCTGACACTCCTGTTTATATCTGTCAGCCAGGGCTCCCTGAGTGGACGAGATTAATAGCCCCAGTCAGGGAGCTCATATTCTATGAGGTCCACCTGACTAACCTCGTTCCAATCACTACATTATTCACAAGCATTAAGTTCCTACCCTACTACAGTTGAAATTGGCTTTTTAACCCCTACCTTGTGTTTTTAGGGGTAAAACACAAACTGTGTCTGCATTTTGGGACATAATAAACAAGAGGAGGCTTGCATTAGAGGAGGGAGTTGTTAATCCCTTGTTACCTTTGTAGTCACAAAAGATCACAGTCCGGTCTTTTTGAAGATTCTTTGTCACTTTTCGGTGTTATGCCCCATTAATCTTTCTTGCACAACAGCCATATAATTTAGATCCACATAATTTAGATCCACAACCAAATTTTGCAGTATCATCCCCTTTTTTAAAAAATAAAACTTTTCAAATTAAGGGTTAAAAGCACCTGTAGTGCTTTGGAGTTTTGGCCCATATCACCTTTGGTTTACCTTTGTTGAATTCCCTGACCATCAACATCCTGGGTGTCACCATTAACCAGAAATTTAACAGAACCAACCACATAGGTGCTGTAGCTCCAAAAGCAGATCAGAGTTTCAGCATTCAGCATTGTATAACCTACAACCTTATCACTCGCCAAAGCCCTTCCATCACCATCACATTCAGAATTATGATGAAATACTCTTCACTTTCTTGGATGAGCATCGCTCTAAAAGCACTCAACAAAACCCCAGGATAAAACAGTTCCCTTTTCGGGTACTTCATCCACCAGCTTAAACATTCACTTCTACCATCCCTGATGTTCCAGGGTTGCATTATGCACCATCTGCAACTTGCAATGCAGCAACGTGCCCAGGCTTCTTTGGCACAACCTCTCAAACTCAACTTTGAAGGACAAGTGCCACCAGTGCATGGAACATTACCACCTCCAAATCACTACTAACCTGCCTGGACACATTGCAGGACCTTGATTATCACTAGGTGAAAATTATGGAACTCACTTCCCAAAAGCATTCTAGCAGTACATTCACCACATGTTCTGGCAGCAGTACTTCACCAATTTCTTGGGGGCAAGTTGAGATGGACAATTAATAATGGTCTTGTTACTGATACCCACATTCCAGGAATCAATAAAAACAGTATCACAGACTATCATCTCTGCAGTAAACATTGGAATCACCATCCTGGTTCCTTTATTTGTCAGGTTCATTTGTAAAGAGTTAATGATTAAATATTGAAATGAAGACAATGCTCTGCGCATAATTCCTACTTCAAAAAGAAATTAATTACATTACTTTGCATTATTTGTTTCACAGTTGTGTTCTCTATGGACACACATCACCATGTACTATCTGGGAAGGGACCACATAGTGCAGTTTTTCAATCAGTAGAAAACACATGACAATGCTGAATCACAAAAACAGAACAATTTTCAGTTAAAATAACTGTCCTTTTTATTCAACATTAAAAATTACACCATTTACAAAAATGATACAAGAATTTACAGAAAAAAATCTTTAAGCTATTGAGGTATTAACATAGAAACAAGTAACAGGAAAATATCAATTGGAGGAAAATCCTGGAAACAGAATGAGTATGATCAACACCACTGAAGTATCAATTACCATAGTATCAAAAAGACTGATTGTTCATAATTCAAAAGTTTTGCGTCAATAAATAGCCAAAACCACTTAATACTAACTTTGGAATAGGAATGAAATGTAAAGAAATAAATTGATTCTCAAGCAGTGAAGGAGTCTCTTTGCAGGACTTTTACTTCACCCAGTACTAGGTCAGATCTTGTCTCAATACCAAATTCAGACTGTATTCACACCGTAAGTGCATGACTTCACACAAATGTTACAGGTATAATTCAAATTACCCCAAGTGAATAGGTTATAACTAAAAATTAAATTTATTTTGAATTGACTAGCTTTTCATATACCTTCCTATGAATTTGACCAAGGTATCATTGAGTAATGTCAGCGCCATATCCCTGATTTTGTTCTGTTGGGGTGGGGCAAGGGGGGGGGTGGTTGGAATTGGGTGGTAGAGAAGTGAGAAGGAATGTGTTAAATTCATAATTGTGCTTTCAAAGAACAAGTATTCATGAATAGAAATCCCATTCAAACCATCTATCTTACTATCCTACATACTATTTTTTGAAACACTTCTTAAAACTACCCATTTCAGTACTTCAATTACAACATATTCCAAAGTCTATAAACACAAAGCAAAATTTGTACAAAACTGCCAAAGGTGAGCTCCCTTAATAAAATAGTGAAATGAAGCTTCAATTTCAGAAATTGTTCAGTGAGGGTAGCTTCTATTGCAATTTTAACATTACATTATAGATTGGTGTTTTCCTTATGGATGATAAAATGTTGGCAAACTGTTCTGTTTGGTAGGACCTTGCAGTAATGGAATACAAACCCCACCTGTGTTGTTCATTTTCTGCAATTTTGAAGAGATTATTTGACTAAAATAGAAGTTTAAAAATTGAGGTTTCAATGTTTCTTTACTATTAAGAAAGGCAACTATGGAAAGCTGAATTTCAGTTGTTAATTAGAAATGTAAACTCCACCACAAAACCCATTATTTTTGGAAAGTGCAAACAATATGATGCAATGGAAATTGTACTCTAGTATTCCCATCTTCAGTATCTCTTAGGTGCTCACCAAGTAGTTCTAATGCATGGATTTGCACTCAATCTGTGCACTTAATCATATGAAAACAATCCATATATATTTGCTGAAAAAGATTAGTCAAAAATATACAACCTCTGAATGCTCACCTTATTTCTGCGGTTGCAACATTGAGCTAAAGGTTGATCTTTTGTTCTGATAATTCAAACACATGCTTCCAAAATGGTAAATTAAGCAACCAGTATAGACCAATTTCAAATCAGAACCAACCCAATGCTTTCACCAATCCAGGGCAAGACACTTTGGTTTGTGTACTTGAACAGATTTACTTTGAATCACAACACAGCCTTGCTTTCTTTGAATTCTAACTCCCACTACAGAAACCTACATCCTACCATGAAAACATAGCACATGAATCATCAGGAAAACAAACAATTTTTGAAGTGCATATAAAAGGAATGCAAAAACGCAAGTACATACACATTTTTCCATTTTAATGTTTAATTTGGAATAGATAGCAGGTCCTTGCTAAATCCCAAATTTTATTGTAATTAGATGACACAAGCTGTCATAGTTACTACCAAACACATTTGTCCCACTCTTTTCAAATTGATTGCAGCACAATGACTTTTAAAAATGGAATTCCTGCTCACTCTCCTCTGAACCTCTTCTAAATAATCAGAATCTACGATACCACAATGGTCAAATGGTCTTGGCCAAATTTCTTGCATTCGAGCTCAACTCAAAGCAGTATTTCATCCGCCTCCCACAATTCATTCATGTTGACTCTAACCCAAAACAGCCATTGAAAGGTTCTCAGTGGTTCACACCTACAAACACTGGGGAAAATCCATCTCCACCTTCAACTGATCTATGCTAGCAAACATCACCATTGGGAACTCAGGTTTTACAAATTGAATTGAAACTAGCCAAATTTATTTCACCCTAGAGTCTTACAGCCAAAACAAAATTCCGATCTGGATATTGAACCCCGAGACTCAAAAGTCATCGCTCAATTCATGAAATAGCTTGCAGCAAATGACTGCATTATGACAGCCAGAGATCAGAAGGTACATATCCACAATTGCTACTCTGCAGGTTGGTTATCCACTCAACTGACATTTCTCATGGCTACTGGACGATCAATGTTCTGCGCTAGGTTCAGCTTTCTCTTGCAATCCAAAACAAGTCGTCTGATTAACAGTTGAATTGTTCAAGTTGAACTGGACAGTGCAGTCCAGTTTCAGTCTCAGTGCAGTCTCACCTTGGAACCAGACCTAATCAGCTTTGTCTTTCTTGAAGCCACAAGATTCCATCATAAGCAAAAATGTGAGAATGGTGGGATACCACAAAATATTGTCAACTCACGTGATCACAAATTTGTAAATCTAGTGATCTATAAGCTGCAAGCTCCAGCGATTTGAAATTTATGGATGAACATTCCAAATAGCAAAAGAAAACAGAGACAAAGGAAAAGGTGTAGCTGAATGTTGCAATCGGATCCTCATTGCTAAAATGCTGCAATTTCTCACTAGTCCTGCCCACTTGTGATATTTCAACTTTAATTGCATTCAAAGCTCTGTAAACTGAATATATCCTTGAATCACTATTTATCCTATTAGCTTGCCAAATTGGGTTGCTTGTATACAACACCAATCGCAGAGAAAGAAGGTGGCGAGCTGGAACACAAAAAAAGTGAAATAAGTTTAACAAGTAAACAATAAGTATAGAGTGCTACAGAAAAGGCAAAGGCAGTTAAAAATAATTTAAAACATTTCCCTGAAGCTTACAGTTGTTGAATTCATAAACATGATAAGTCAATATAGGTTCGAAAAACCAATTTCTATCCTGTTTCCCATGTTCTTCAATTATTTATTTATGATCTTTTCTTTAAAAAAAGTGTCCCATCATCCGAAACCTCATCACGGCACTCTCACAGGTCTCAATCTGATCACGGGAGACAAGTTTACTTTAAGAATTTTTTGAGCCCTCTGACGTGCCTTGGAAACACTTTCATCTGAAGATGAATCTTCAACTTTTATGGTTGGGAAGGCGAATGGACGAGAGGCAGTGGTTTTGCTGGACAAGTTGCCTCGCAAAACCCGGCTGACGACCTGGGAAGGTGAGGTCTTTGTCAGGCAGCTTTTGCGTTTCTTGGTGACGGGCTCCCCCGCATTCCTTTGTTTCCTTCGCCGACTCCTGGGCGCCCTCTCGGTGCTGGGTTTGACTTCAGCCGTGGGCTTCGCTTCGGGCACCGCGGAGCGGCACGAAGAATAACCGTACACGTCCTTGCTACGGAGGATGACCGGGGTGAAGCCTTCCTCCCTCATGCTGCACAGGAAGTCCCACAGCTCAATCTCCGAGTTGTGAAAGTCGCTGCACTTGGGCATGAAGATCTTGAGCGCATCCTCCAGCGCCTTTGTTCCCGCGAACACCATCTGTGATCTGGAGTAGACCACCCGCTCCTCGCCAGCGAATACCGCCATGGCCAGGCTTTGCGCGCACACTGTTCCCAATTCCTCCCACCGACACACACACACACCCAGAGCGAGAGAGAGAACCGGGGACTTTGCCAAGGGGAAAAGGGAAGGGCGGGGGGGGGTCAGCTTTCTCCTACCCCGCCTACACACATACCCCCAACATTAGCATTGCCAGCAGCAGCAACAACAAAAAGAACCCCACTTACAATTTTCTCAAGATATCCCTGGGAAAGGAGGAACGGCCTCATCCGCCGCCCCTTTATAAACAGGAGCCCTACCAGTACGTCAGCTCAGTGACTCCACCCAACCCCCGATCAACAAAAACAAGGAGGCCAGCCACTCACAGCGCCTTTGAACAGGAGGACAACTCAGTCCGGAAGCCTGTCTTCAACACTGGCTGATGGGGGACAGCGAGTCAGGCAAACACATGGATCTAGGTTCACCAACAGAAAAAGGACGGAAATATTTAGCTCAGGATCATCTAGAGGTGGGCGGGCAAGCGGGGGGGAGAAACAGAAGCCACTCAGTCAGTCGACGTTTCAGGGCCACTACCTCCCTTTCTCGAATCTCAAATGCTTTCTTTCTAATGCTGGAGCTGGGTTTCTTTTCCAAGTGCAATGTATCAAAACCAAGAAAGTGTTTAAGCTACAGTGTAATTGTCATTGATGGCAACATGAAAGAACTGCTGAAAGTTGGATTGTGATCAAACAACAGTCATCCCAATCATATGGTGAACGAGACTTCGCAGGTTTAATCTCCTCTGTACGCTTGATACTGTATTTGTGTTTTAAACCCTTTCAATTGAACCAATGGGATTTCCGGGTGATAAACTGCAACCTTTTTTTCGCAGTGCATCGTGGAACACCGCATGAAAATGACGAGAAGAATTTTAATGCATCGATAATCCTCGTCGGAAATTGTCTAATATTTCTTTCAGTGAATATCCAATTTATAATTTAGACTCATTAATTACCATTTAACACCCGCAAACAGTTTACTACAACCTGGCCTCCAGCCATCTCAACTCTGCTCAGTTATGTGGAATGAACATATGCCAGAATTCTTGTTTGCAACAAATTTGTGTCACTCATTTCGCTTTAACATGTATTTGCTTTGAGATAATGGTTCTGCTGTTGACATTTAAATCTAGACTTAAGACAAAATAAAACCTGGAAACTGAAAATCTTAAATAAACACAAAATGCTGGAAATGCTCAGGACAGGCAGCAACTGTGGAGAGAGAAACAGAAATACTGTTTCAGGTCAACACCCTTTTGTCAGCTCCGTTTCTCTTTCCACGGAGTTAGGTTGGGCTGTCAACCCAACTGTGTATTTCCATCAATTTGTTTTCATTTCTATTTTGTTGTGGTTTATTTAACATAATTGAAGATGGCTCCATAAGATTAAGTGGATTTGCAAGTAAAATAACCAGAAGCTATTCTTCTCACTTTGATCATCATTCTCATGCCTAATGGATTTCTGATCTTGACATCTGTATGTGAGTTATTCCTTCAGTTTTCAAAGTCACCCCTTTTGCTTTGTCAATGAATAATGAGACCACTATACATTGTCTTCACTGACCTCCCAAAGCATCCAATTATGTAACAAGAAGTGGTCTATCTCAGCTGCTGAAGAAAACTACCTGCCCAGTAAAGCCGTGATGAAGAGGGATCTGTTCTGACCCAGAAAACGTAGGGCTAGCTTTGACAGGGCCACATTGGAATCTGTCAAGATCCACAATGAGATAAAACAGGAATGCATTCTAGCACTGACGTTTGCATATTCTCATTGCTGATGTCATATGCCTTTAGTTCAGCCACTGAGAGTGTCTACATACATTAGAGAACTGATGGAAAGAAAATAAGCCTTGCCCACATGAGATCCAAGAAAAAAAAGTGCCCCAATTCCTCAGCAGAGAATTGTTCTATGCTATAAAGTGTTTGATTAGACCATAAATATCAAAAAAACTTGTTATTCTTGCATCATTCAGGATTGATGATGAGATGCTGGTGGTGTTGATAGTTTGACATTTCCAGGCTTTACAATCGCCAGCAATCCGTCACTTTATATTGAAATCAACAGGTGCAGCTTTTATTTCCAAGCAGAGTAAGAGAGTGTGCAACAACAATCTGTAAGTGTACCAAGCCTGATGGCAAACTTTGGCATTTTTCTATGTGTTACTCTTCATTATTTGTTGATCATCTTTCATATGTCTTTCCAGACAACATACATGTATTAGATGGTTTAGAAGCATTGCTTCTGAGCTTTATTTATTAACTTTAATTAATCTAAGTGGTCTTCTTACCTCATGTCGATATATTAGTCCAAAAGGTGTAAATCCTGTGGGCTCATTAGGAGCATCCCTAATAACAAATAATAACAAATAAATTCCTATTTCTCAATCATTAGGACATTCCTGGCATAAGCTCTAAACATAGTCTTTAAAATTCAATGCCATCTTTCCAATATGCCTTCAGATTGTAGGAAATATGCAGAAGATGTAAATTGTATAATTCCTAAACTAGCCATTAGTTTTTAAAATATTTGTGACATAAACTTTGAGCCTTGATCTGACTGTATTTTTTTTGGGTAATTCATATCTTGTAACAAAAGTTGAACTAACTTTTCACCTACCACTTTTTCAGTAATTTCTCCTAAAGCACTTTGAGTCGCAGAGTTATCCAGCAAGGAAAGAGACCCTTCGGTCCAATTTGTTCACAGGTACCAGACATCCCAATCTGGCCTAGTCCCATCTGCCAGCATTTGGCCGATATCCCTGTAAATCTTTCCTATTCATATACCCATCCAGATGCCTTTTAAATGTCGTAATTGTACCCACTTCCACCACTTCTTCTGGCAGGTTGTTCCGTGAAAAAGTTACCCCTCAGTCTTTTTAAATCTTTCCCCTTAATCCTATGCCCTCCAGTTTTGGACTCCCCACGTTAGAAAAAAGACCTTGGCTATTCACCCTATCTATGCCCCTCATGATTTTATAAACTTCTACAAGATCACCCCTCAGCCTCTGACACTGCTGGCCTATTCAGCCTCTCCCTGTGACTGAAACCCTCCAGTCCTGGCAACATCCTTCTAAATCTTTTCTACGCCGTCTCAAGTTTAACAACAGTCTTCCTTTAGAAGAGCAACCAGAATTTAATGTTGTATTTTAAAAGTAGCCTCATCAATGTCCTGAACAAATACAACATGTCATCCTATTCCTATACTCAATGTTCTCACTAATGAAGGCAAGCATGCCAAACACCTTCTTCACCACCCTGTCTACCTGTGACCCCACTTTCAAGGAACTGTGCACCTGCATCTCTAGGTTTCTTTGTTTGGCAACACTCCCCTGGGCCCTACCATTATCTTTATAAGACCTGCTGTAGTTTGCCTTACCAAAATATAACACCTCACATTTGTCTAAATTAAACTCCAGCTGCCACTCTTTGGCCCATTGGTTCATCTGATCAAGGTCCCAATGTATTCTGAGATAATCTTCTCTACTGTCCACCATACCACCAATGTTGATGTCATCTGCAAACTTACTAACCATTCCATCTGTGTTCACATTCCAAATCATTTATATAAATGATGAAAAGCAGTGGACCCAGCACCAATCCTTGTTGCACACTCCTGGTAACAGACCTCTTGTCTGAAAAGCTACCACCCTCTATCTATCAACCTAATTTTGTATCCATTTGACTAGCTCCCCCTGGATCCCATGTGATCTAACTTCATTAACCAGCCTACCATCTGGAACCTTGTTGAACACTTTGCTGAAATCCATATAGACAAATGTGTACTGCTCTGCATTCATCAATTTTCTTTGTCACTTCTTCAAACAAAAATCAATCAAGTTAGTGAGACATCATCAGGAAATCTTGGAGATACATCCATAATGGTTAAAATATACTGTTTTCCATTCCTGGTTTTAAGTAGGTGTCCTACTCAATCTTGTATGGCTCTGTTAAATAGATCGTCAAAAGCTGGTATTGGAATAAAAGGTGCAGGTTTAATTGAGGGCTCTGGTTTCCCCACCACCTGATGTGCATGGCAAGACTTTACTACATCTTCTTGTAACTGTGGTCAATAAAAATATTTTTACATTTTAACCTGCGTTTTCCTAATACCTAAGTGATCGGTCCTTGAAATTTCATAAGCCACTCCATCTGAGCATCTTAGCTAAGTCCAATTGTGACATCCCAGTTTCAGGTTTTATTTCTACCAATTCTAAATGTGATATAATCACTCAAAGCATGTCATCCTTGTCCTTGTGACACCTTGCTTTCACTTCTACCTTAAATGCATATGTTAAGTTCCTCAATACAGCTTTAGTCAAATATTTAAAAATATCCACTATTATATCTTCATCCCCCAGAAAACTCTTACAGCCTCTGCACCCATCATTAAATTTCATGGAATAAATTCCACCACAACACAGCTGTTTTACCTCAGAACCATTCCATACTTTAACAAAAAAGACACATGTGCCTCTGAAATCCAACAAATTCAAAGATCTCAGATGAGCCCCCACGTGTTATGATTCTAGTTGAAGTTATTACCAATAAATCAGATTCTAGACATGAACGTCGCTTGATATGTTATATTTTTATTTGTCTTGGTTTTAACAAAGTGTACTCTTGCTGAAACATTAACTCGCAATGTTGCGGATTTTGCTTTAACAATACAATAAAAGTTTATTACAAAAGGAATGAAGATAAAATTGAAAAAAACTCAAACTACAGCAAACTTTGTTTTAACCGGTATTCTCAATAAACTGGCAAATATTATATACCTGAAATACCAGAAGTTTACTGAATTGTGATCTGCATGATGTCTGAGTAGTCAGTTCAGGGTGTGACACAGCAGGTCCTCTGCTGATAAGTTTTATTTAAATTATTATTCATGTGATTTATGCTGTAAATAAAGTATAACAGTAGAGTATCGTAAAGTATACCCCTTGCATTACTTTTCTATTACTTTGTGTGTGTTTTTATATTGATTATGTGGACCTCTTGGTCAACCAGAATATTTGATCAACCAGTACACTCCTGATCCCATAGGTGCCAGTTAATAAAAAGTTTGCTGTATCAACTTGTACTATAAATTGCAAGATGCTGAACATGTCGTAGAAGTATAATTCCATTATTCTCAAAACAGTCCTTTATAAATTGAAAAGAAACGTAACACCATTTTTATAGCACCAAAA